TCAACTCAGTTCCACAGCACAGACTTATCGATGCGGTTCACTCCCTCGTCCACCACTGGCAACAACAGCAATCCACACACACCCTGACGGTGGATGTCCAGGCCACCGGCAACCCTTTCCACCACTCACACATTGGCAGACACCATCGAAAACACCCTACCCAACGCACCATCCAGACTTCAGACATCACCACCATCGTGGCTTTTGCCCTCAACACATGCATTTTCCGGGCTTGCAACAATACTTACAAACAAATCCAAGGGGCCGGGATTGGATCCCAGCTCTCTCCAGCCCTATGCAATGTCGCCATCACCCTCATTGAGCATTCCTGGCACCAGATCCACAACAACCTACTTCAACACACAGACCTCCACTTCACTTACTATCGATATGTCGACAACCGCTTCATTGTCCACAACGAACATTTCCTCCAACACCCAGCCATTCAAACCCTCATCCACCACAACTTTTTTGGAGACCCAGTGGAACTCGAACCAGTGGAGGATTTTCATCTCCTCGGTTTCAACATCGACCTCCCACAACGCACCATCACCTACATGCAACCTTCCCAACCCTGGAAAATCAGGGATTCCACAACCGCCGGGAGCCAGCGCTTGGCTCTATCAGGCCTCCAATCACGACTCCACACCATTCGCAAATACACATTTCCACCCTCCAGCGCTGAAGCTGCTGCGGCTGAGCTCGTGAGGCTCTATGTCCAAAAAGGACACAACCACCACGCTTGCCACCGGTTTTTGAAAAAAGCGCCGGATGCGGCGACCTGTGTGTGTCCACCCCTGGACAAAGGGTTTTCCACCGCCACTCCTTCCATGCTTTTCAACTACCTTTGTCAACCACCTTATACAAGCAGGGGGTGCAAGCAGCCCATCCAGTCTTGCACCAACGAAGACACTGGATGCGTGCTGGTGATATCGATTTGGGACGCCAAATCGACGTACCTGCAGAGTTCTTCACACGCTGTTACTCCAATTTTCCACTTTTTGTTTCATGGTTCTTCACGATTTCCACCCCATAAACATTCGTCCCCAGCAGCTGAGCAGCCGGTTCGCTTTCCGCCGCTTGCGAGTGCCAACATTGTTCAACAATACTGTTTCAGCTGACCTTTCCACCTTGCTGTTCCATCACCTTCCTTCCCATCGGGAAATTGAGTTAACTGAATACAAGTGTCAGAGTGTGTTGATGGTCTGGTCAGTGATCTTTTTCTGGGACTCGAAAAAGCAGAACGAACAGCAACAGTATAATACTATACGTGTTATATCGTGTTATATATCACCCACAAGCTTCCAAATCTGCTACATGGGCAAGTGTTCTAAAAGGTGACCAACGACCATGACTGGTCTTCGGTATGACTGGTCTTTCCAGGGGTCTTTGCTCTCCCTATTCCAATCCATTTACACTCCGACGAACACATCACATGGAAGTGGATGGCACCCACTGATTGTAGAGGAAAGTCGTCTTCCAAGAGGCCATTCTTTTTTCCACTTCCATGTTGTAGGAACCTGCTCGTCCCGCAAGATGTGCCTCCCTTTTCACACGACGGCGATGCACCAATGCTCGAGTTGGGAGGAGTTAAGCTTCTAGGGACAAAAGGGCCTGAATGGCTGTGGTATCACAGATTAAATTGATGATCCACTGCTCACTGGAAAGTGCATGGGCCCCGGTCCTCCGGGTAGCCTGTGCCTTTTGCACGCACTCAAAAACCAGCAACAAAAACCACGGAAGCAACAGCAAAGCGAACATGAAACAGTCAGGGCTTGGTTCCCGCGTCTTCTAATTCCAGCAGGTCTCTGCCTGCTTTCTTCAATCTTTTTCCGCTGAACATTTCAGCGTCTTCTACTATGCGCCATGACTGTCTACAAGCTATGAACCTATTCATTTGCTCGTCCTCATTCTTTTTTGTAAGGCTGTTAGCTAACATCGCTTCGCTGTTGACCCATCTCACTTGGAGATTGGTCTCCGTTTGGCAGTTTTTCAAAGCTACAAGTTCGATATCAATCTTCTTTGATTGTCCGGTCGGAGATATATACGGCCTTTGAAGCTTGTCGTAAACACTCCTACTGTCCGTGATGAGGGTTCCCGGGGTCTTCACAACCAAACCATCAGGGTTCCTGGGTTCCGGAATTTCCCCACAAACTTCTCCCAATTGATACCGGATCAACCAAAGCGCGTCTTCGGCGTCCATCGCGGCATGCGCTTCGCTCGCGCCCGGTGCTCGGCAAACTCTGTCGATTTTGGAGGAGTTCCAAAACATGGGAGAAATCTTTTCCAGGGTACCCGAACTGAGGTTTTGGTGAGCCGCTCCTATGAAAATCCCTTTTGTAGAGTGGCCTGAGGGTCTGTTTTGGTTGGAAGCATCCGACCAAGCATACTGTACATACCCACCTTGTTCAGAGGAATGGGGAAGATTCTCATGGGTTCTTTTGAGGCATCCTTCATTTTGTGAAGAAGAGTGTTCGTTTCCAAAATGGTTTCCACGGTGGCCTGGGGAACCTGACTCAACAAGAGGGAAACATACGCCGAGTAGCGGAATCCAACTTGGCTGCAATGCCAAGACATGGCACCAAGCACCCCCCTCATGGCACTTCTTTCTTTTTCAGTGGCGGGTTCTTTGCGTTGCTTCCTACGTTCTCCGTTTAAGGGGACCGGAAGGGAGTGACTCATGTACCTTTCTTGACTAAGGGTATAGCCTCCATCCGTTTGTCTACTAATCTGAACTCCACATTGGGTGAATTTGTCTTCTTCGAATTCTCCCCACCTAAACGCTTCTTGTATACTCTTTTTCGCGCTCTGCCAGTATTCGTCTTGGGGGTTACCAATGAAGACAAAGTCATCCACGTGGCCCGATATGATGGAGCGGACATCACCTCCTTGCTTGAGCACCCAGCAGCATGGGTCAGAGAAACATTGCCTGTATCCCAATTCTTGAAAGTGAGCTCGCACGGTCTCATACCATTCATATGGCGCTTGGACCAGACCGTAACATGATTTCCTGAGTTTGGTGATGGACTCAGGAGGTATGCTCATCTCTCTGCATAGGTCAGGAGTTGGGATACAGTATAGTTCCTCCTCACAGATCCTACCCTGCAGAAATGCAGCGGCTACGTCGCCCTTCCAGCAATGCCAGCCTCTGGATGCCGCGTACTGAAGCATCAGTTGGCGGGTGTGTCTGGTGGTGGTGGGTGCATAAGTGATGCGGTGTTCATATTTGGGGTCCTGGTATCCCAGGACTACTAGTCTTGCTTTGGGGACTGTTTTTCCTTCTCCATCAACTTTCCAACTTAAAAGCCATCTCATGGACTTTGCTTGGGATTTGGGTGGCTGTAGATGAGCTGGAAGTGCTTCGAGGGCTTCTGACGTGAGAAATTTCGAAATCTCCGTGTTCTTAGCCCCTCGAAACTGTTCTTTGGTGGCCTCATCCATGTGCTTCTCAAAGACTTCCACACTCTTCTTTTTGAGAGTGTTGACGATGTAGGCCTTCACGTCTTTCGACATCTGCATCCATCCGTGACGGCTATGGGGCAAAGGAATCTCCAACTCCACATAAGCTTTTTCGTCACTCCAGAATGAGTGCTGCTCTGCATAGAGTAGCGGGTCTTCTTCTGGGTCAATGTCCATGGGTGTTGGTCTGGAAGGCAGAGAAGGGTTCTGTTCTTGTTGTTGTTCTTCTTCTTCTGCCGTAATGTCCACTGGTCTTTTTGTTCTGTGTCTTTTCGTGGGCGGTTCCCAGAACCGAGCCACTCTTTCTCTGTCTTCTTCGGAAGGCATGTCTTTGGCTTCCACTGTGATGTCATCGTATTCATTCTTTCCCAAAGGGGCCACAATCTCTGAGATGGTCCAGGGCAACTTGAGGTCCTTGTCCAGCTCTGCTAAAGTGGTTTCCCTGTTGGAAGCTTTGCGAAGCTGTTCGACTGAGGCTTTAAGTTGCGCACCAACCATACTACTGAGCTAGGTCTGACGTTCCCGTCTTCGTCGAACCTTGTTTCCAAAGCTAAGATGCGAGCTGGTCCTGCATAGCCATGGAAGTGCCCAGTTTGGTATCGTTGGCCTGCTTCTTTGCGACCCAGATGTCGCCAGTAGAAGACCAGCTCTCCCGGGGTGTAGATCGGGATTGGTTTTGACTTGGAATTCATAGCTCTTGCCAGTCTTTCTTTGGCTTGCCACTTCAAGAAGACTTCTTCTGCTTGGAGTCGGAGGCTTTGGTGTTTTTTTCCAGCTCTCCTACTGGTGTTTCCATGATGTCCACTGGTAGTCCACGAATGTCTTCTCGGAAGAAGCGGCCATCGAGGTCTGGAGCCTGGCCCAACGCATGTTGGTGGGGTGAGAAGCCTCTCACCATTTCTCTTCTATTCCATATGTTCAATGCCTGGTGCACCGCCTCATGGGTAGAGATGCTTGAGCTCTCTTGGGCGAGGCGGGACAAAAGCTCTTTGAGCCAAGCTATGCTTCGCTCCAATGGTGACAAGTGCCAGTGTGCGTCACCGGGGATAGGATCCAACATGACTTGGTTTCTAGAAAAGTAAGTGTCAATCTCTCTAGACCGCCAAGTTCCTTCGGCGTCGAATCGGAGGAAGTCCGGATGTCCAAAATACTGCAACCAATGGCTTTGATAGAAGTCGATGTATTGGGTGGATTTCACGTTGGAAGACTCCCCTTTTCCCAAAATCTTTCCCACCAAAAACCTACTCCCTTGGTCCATGATCAATCCGAAGGTGACCCTTTCTTTGGAAATTGGGTGCCTCCAAACAGCGCAGTCCGCGAGAGCGACTGTCCACCTCTTGGGCACCACCTCTAAGGTGGCAACCCTACGAGGAGCCGGCCTCTTCCTCTCCTCACAGACCTCACACCTAAAGCCTTTGGCCAAATCAATCACTTTTTGTTCCAAACCCTTTTGTTTCAAAACCTGAACAAGGTTTTCAGTGCTTCCATGTCCCGTGGCGCAATGCACCAACTTTATTTTCCTCATCCATTCTTTTCTTTCTTGGGGGTTCCAACCTTCTTCAGCATCAACGGGGGGTTCGGCTTGTTCTTCATCCAACATGTCTTCCTCTCCCCACCGATCGCCCACGCTTCCTTCCCCGACGAACGCGCGTTCCGAGAGGATGCATGAAGAACACAATTGGACCTGACCTTTCCACCTGAACAGCCTACAATTGCACATGGTTGGTTCGTATTGACCCATTTTCACAACATGCTCTTCTTTCGTTTGTTCATCACTCATGAGTCGTTTGATGACCTTGCAAGAAGAGAGTTTCATGTAATGGACAATGCGTTTGGCCATGGTTTGCGTGTAAAAGGCAGATCTTCTAGTCAACTTACCTTCACACTTCACATGATGACAACTACACTCGGGGCCCTCGCATTTGATTTGGAGGTTCCTAGCAAATTCATGGTCAGTAGTTTCAACCCTCCATTCCTTCCCCAAAAATCCCGTCCCTTGGTCATTCGTCAGTCCGACCCTGCACCCTCCGACTATGGAAGTCTCCGTTTGGAGGTTGTTTCTATATTTTTCCATGGGCTCCCACTTCCAAGCCCTACACCTTCGGCTCCACTCCCAGTGAACCTCGCTCCCTATCGATCGACCGAAGTACGCCACGACGAGTCCTCCGATGTGTTGTTTCCTAGCCTCATGTTGTTTTTGTTGGAGGTCTTGTTGTTGGGCCTCGGTCCGTTGATTGAAGTTTTGGATAGGACTGAAAGGACCGCACTCCGTGGAAATCCAAATGTTTCGGGGCCTCTTCTGTTTGATCAGTTCAAGGGTTCTTCGGAGTCCTTCAGGGGTGGTGAGGTCGTGTCCGTTGAAGAGCGAGGCGCGTTCAGCTGAGAGTCCTTTTGCTTGTGCTTCGGTGGTCAGTACTGAATCAGGTGCGCAAGCTATCTCCAAAAGAAACAAACGGCCTTGGTCAAAAAGCTTGTCCAGCCCATGGAAAAACCCTTCTTCGAGAGTCTTCCCAAGCCTCAAAGCGGCATCGGGCTGAAGTGTTTGAATTAGGCAGGCCGGTTCTTCATATATCAGGCTAGCCGAGCCTTGGACTCCGTCCTTCACTGTGGTTCCCCGTGAACTGAGATCTTCTCGAAGCTGGTGCTCGTCTTCCGGGTTTTGGAAGAGGCTGATGCTGCTTCTTCCTTTGCTTCCTTCAGTTCTGATTCCAGGGTGTGGATCTTTAGCATCATCTGGTTCATGGTTTCCTTGATCTCCGCTGCCTCGGACTGTGGCATCTGGAGGTCGTTGGGCCCCTGGGCTGCAGGCATGGGGGCAGCTGCCTTGTAGCGACCCGGCTGGGTCAAGTGGCGGTTTTGACCTGGAGCCACCACCAGGCCTGCCCAGGCTAGCGGTGCTTCTCCTGTCGCCCCGGATTGGGGAGATTGAGCCGCCATGGGGATGCCCGAAGCCATGAAGGGCGTGTTGCCCAGGGGCTCCTCCACATTTTCCATCTTGTTCACCCAACGAGCGAACTGGATCAACTTCCAGTCTGGGCTCTCTGAAGTCTTCACCTCCCTTGTTGCCCACATGGCATATTGGTGGTCGGTGCTCATCACCTCCATGAAGGTCGCCCCCTGGTGCTTCCCAAAGTTGATTTTGGTGTCCCCATCGCAATCGTCGATCACAGCTTGGCGAAGAGCTAACTTCAGTTCCCCCACCGTGGCCTTCTCCATGGATGACAGCTTGTAGGCTTTGGCGAGTTCCTGGAGCTCGCTCTTGTTGGCTTTCTTGATGCGAGCCATTTGGTCCTGGCCTGGCTCCTTCACCTGAAGGAGGCCGCGACGGATCCGCGACTCCCTCAACATGACCCTCAACTCGGAGATGGAGAGGTCCTGGTGTGGCGGAGTGCCGGCTGCTGTCATCTCTTTGCGACATTCTGCTGCACTGCACTGGTAGTGCGGCTTCATCTCGATGTCGGCTGCCGTTTGGATGTACTTCTTGGGCGCCATGGTGGTGATTTGCTTGATCGGGATTGCACGGAACGTCCTTATCAACAGAAATGGCTGCGGAGGTGATGTAGTTCTCAACTGACGAATCGATCGGCGGTTTGGAAGTTTGTTCACCAATCTTGCCTGAGGTTGGGTGAAATCGGCTCTGGAGGCGCTTGCACGCTTCATGGTACAAAGGATAGCGTTCAGCTATGCTAGACAAAAATGATTGTTCAGCATCCCTAATTCTACCTGACTGATGGACGCAGAAATCTTCCCTGCCTGTTTTGAACATTTCCTCACACTCAGGTACAGGCTTTCCCGAGCTGAGTTTGGTTTCCTATTCGTCACCCGCTGAGGCGTGGTGACCCTTGTCGATCAAAGATGCTAGACTACTCACTGGAAAATGGAGGTCTTTTCCCTCCTTCAAAAAGTCCTGCGTCAGAGGCAGCAGCTGGTGTCCTGATGATGACCGTTCCAGTGAGAGCAAGGTGCGGGGTGCCACAGAGGTGAACACGGCTTTGTCGTTGCGGAAGTCGATGATGGCTCCCATCCGACGAAGCGAGTCCACTGATAACAGGACGGGTGCACGTCCTTCTTCAAGCACGTGTACTCTCAGTGACATTGACTTGTCCTTGCTGGGCAGCTGAACCTGGCAAGTGGAGAGGCATTTGGACCTTTGGGAATTCCCGAATCCGAAAGTCGGCCTGTCCACCTCGGAGGTGCTGATCTCTTTGATTCCGTCAGTGCCATGGGCTTCTTGCATGTTGTGCATGTAGCGCTCCAAAGCAAATAGAGAGCCCATAGTTCGAGTGGCACCTCCGTCCAGGATAGCCTTTCCTTGATAGACGGCGGCCTCTGTACTGATGTAGGCCGTAGAGGCATGAAAGACTTCTTCTGGCTCAAGCGCTGTGGATCCCTCACCATAGGTCTCTTCAAAGAAGTAGTTGTCACCGTGGGAGGAGGCAACAATGTCTTCATCCTGAGTCATGAAGGTCGTGTGAAAGGTGTGGTGTACTTGTTCAACTTCTTCTTCTTCTGCGTATTGGGCGCTTTGTCTCTTGGGACACTCACTTTTCACATGCCCCCTCTCTCCACATAGGAAGCAAGGTCCTTTAGTAGGTGGCGCACCCCTGTTTTGAAAGTTCTTCCCTGCTCCAATAGGGTAGGTGGTCTTGTAGAACTTCCGTGACATCTTGACTTCGTGTTGTCGGGCTCTGGCTTCACGCAGTGTGCGTTTGGCTCCTTGGAATTGAATCCAGGCTTTTTGCTCGTCATTTTTGGCTTCTTGATACCATGCGATCTCATGATCCGCCCATCCTTCGAAGTACGCTTCCTCTTCATCGTGGGGGCTTGGTTCATCTCCTTCCAGATCTTCTTGGAATAGCGAGTGTTTTGCTTCTCCATCCCTCTTCTTGATAGCATCATCACCCCAGTGAGCTCGAAGTGCATTTTCCACTCCTGATAGGGTGAAGTTCCCTTTGATCTCACCCTGGATGATGCTCTTCTCTAGGCCGTCCAGGCCCGACTTTTCCAATAACATCCTTGGACTGCATCCGGAAGGATATTGATAGGTTCTTCTTCATCTTGTTCTTGTAGACCTGTGTTCGCTCCCCAATTTGAGCCTTGGTAGCTCTGGTTGTGCCAATTGTGGGACCACCATCCATTCCCCGAAGACCATGTCCACCCATTCCAGTTTGTCCATGGTTCATTGTCACCCCATGAATGTGATGTGGCCTCTTGGCTATTGGGATCGTTCAGACCCTCATGTCCCCCTTGCACGCTGCCGGATTCCGTGGCTTGTGATGAACTCGGCATTGCTGAAGATCTCAGGTTCATGTCCTTCTTTTGTTCCTTGATCATCCTGGCCAAGGAGCGGCACATCTTCTCATACTCCTCCCGGTGTCTCACGCAAAATGCGGTCATGCTTTCCCCTTTCTGTCGGCGAAGTGTCTTGAAGTAGAGGCGAAGGAAGTTGCCCACTTCTGGAAGTGCTGGTTCGCCGATGGTGACCTGAAGGTGTTTCAGCAATGTCTCGACCCCAGAGGCATCACTCAGCCAATGGGCCTTTTTTCCCATGATTGCGGTCTTTGCGGCACCGCTCAACTCGGCAGCTATCTTGGGTCCACAGGTGTAGCGAGATTCGATCTTCGTCGATGCGACGTACAATCTTGCAGCCTGTTTGAACTCCAACCAGGTTGAAGGATCCCCATTCCAACCTGGTACCCCATCTTTGGTTCTCGTCACTGAAGACGACATAGTCGGTTCCTGTGTTCTCGAGATACTCGAGGATCTCCTGCTCAATGATCGTAGACTGTGAAGAGCTCCGCTACCATGTAGGAACCTGCTCGTCCCGCAAGATGTGCCTCCCTTTTCACACGACGGCGATGCACCAATGCTCGAGTTGGGAGGAGTTAAGCTTCTAGGGACAAAAGGGCCTGAATGGCTGTGGTATCACAGATTAAATTGATGATCCACTGCTCACTGGAAAGTGCACATGTGATGTGTTCGTCCGGCACATCCACTCCGCTGTCTCCGCGGTTCCGTACGTGACGGGTGCACGACGGGTGCACGCCGCTGCCCCGACCGCTCGCACGACCGCTCGCACGAAGCACAAACGTGACGCCTGATTCGCGGTGACCACCTCCTGCAGCCCGAAGCACGGACGAGAAGCGTGGCCAAACTGATGAGGTGATTAGCATCCCTATAGGCCCTATAGGGCTCCAGTCGTATCTTCTAAGAAGGTGGGACTGAGGTGGGTGCCAGGAGGGTGCAGTCATACCGAACCTGAGATCTTCTGAGGAGGTACGACTGGAGGTGATTAGCATGTGAACACTTGTGAGTTTTCATCGATTTCTCCGGAACCCAAGTGAGTTTGCTCCTCGAGGGCCCACCAGCCGAATGAATCTCGAGATGCTTTGACATATTAAAGTGTAATTGTGTGATGCCATGGTCAGCCGCAGTGTGGGAATGAAGTATGTGATGCCATGAGGAAAAAACACGCATGTCTTTATACCAAGTCAGTGATCAGTCAAACGGTGAACAGTGGACAGTCTACCCAGCTGGTTCTTTTCGGGGATTCTCATGCTACTTCCAGGTACATACAGCCAAAACGATGCAAGTTCTTTACTGTGTTTTGTTATATTTGTGAAACGTGCCACCTGACCTTTCTCTACTCAACACAAGCAACAAGCAGCAGGAGTAGCAACAACAAACACAGATATATAGATATGGCAAATCACAGAGACAGCAATTGATCTTTATGATACATCAAAGCGCAAGCACAAGCCGAGCACACGCACACACTCACATCACACACGTGAGACAAACGGTTTCAAGCCGAACACAACACATCACGACAAACCGCCTCTCGAGACCCCACAACACATCACCAAACCACACAAGCAAAAAGAGAGTTTTTCCCGCAAGCCCCATTTTGGCGCCCAGGTTCCGAAACAAAATCCAACAACGCCCAAAAGTCCGGCCCCGCGCGACGCGCGGACGCGCCGGCGACCTCCTCCGACTGGTAGGCCACAGAGTCGAGGTCCTTAAAGATGGTCACCGTGACCCAGGCAAAGAACATCCTTGGGGCAGAGAAGGGGTGGGAACGGGAGAGAGGATGTGGAGGCTGGATGGAATGCCAGATGTGGAGGGGGGGGGACGTGGAGGTGGCGTGGCAAGGGTACAATGGGTGCCCACCACTTGTAGTGACATTGGGCAAGTTGAGGTGTACCACAAACCTGCAGTTGATTCTCATCTTTCAAGTGCAGTGAAAGAAGTCACAAACACCAAGCGCAAAGACTGGAACTCTGACTGTAACTCGTGAGGAGGTGTTTGACCACAACTCCTGGAGGTTCAACTGGCAAGAAAGCTGGAGAAACCTTAATCACATGGATAACCCTTTTATTATTCACATGGATAACCTTTATTATTGACATGGATAACCCATCACATGGATAACCCATCACAACCTTATCACATGGATGTTTTGAGTCTGGTCTTGGTATTGACCCACTCAAACTCCTAGAGGTGGCTCCGCTTCAGTGTTCCACCATCCTGTGAAAGCAAGTGGTGGCTTACAATGTGTTTTGGGTGGCAATAGGGGTTGTTGGCCCCTATGGCCGGAATTGGACACCATGTAAGTGGTAGAACTGTTTATATAACTGCCATGGCAAACATACCAAATTCCTATCAATTCCTACGTTGCGTGGCCAAAACCCCGTGGCTGGGTAGACTGGTCTATTTCCCAAACCTTCTATACGGGGTCGAGTGGACAGGGTGTTAACATGATGGGATTTAACACCATCACTAAGATTATTTGGTTAGACTATGTTCTGACTTTTTGCAATTGATTCTGTATCCATTATAACCACTATAGTTACACGGCCAGCCGTGCTCATTTCTTCAATGGACTGGACCACATGCTTGAAACCAACAAGGGGACTCGCCACTGAGAGCCAGCTGATCACCCCTGGACAGTAGCTTCATAAGTGTCCTGGAAGTACTCTAAGTAGCATGGCTGAAAAGGGCTTCACTGAAATAATAACTGAATAACTGAATAACTGTTCAATATATATATATATATATTATGCCTCTGAGTATGAGTCCGTCACAAAAAATGTGTTGAGCATCACTATGTATCAGAACAACAATGTCTTAAGATATCTTAAATATACACATTTCACATGTTGAAATCAGCACTGGAAATCAACCATGTTCGTGTCAAATATTGATTGCCCAAGCATGCAACCAATGATTTTTGTCATAGCCTTGCGTGACTCATCACATGCGGAAAAACACAACCCTGTCGGATGCACAAGCCGAGGAACACCGTGCCCACGAAGAAGACGGCCACTGACCTCAGTAATGGGTGGAAACACGGACATAACATGGAAGAACGGTTGACAAACAGCCATGGTCACTTCAATGGTTACAAGAATCCCTGTCGAAGCCAAGAAAAGTCATGAACTGGAATCAAGCCGAGTGGAGGAACCACAACACCAAATGAACTGACCGGTGAT